TTCTTTTGCATCCATTATAAGTCTTTTCTGCACAAATGAGTAGATATTCAGTTTAATAAAAAAAAGTTGTTGTCAGCGCCCCAAAAACAAACATGCTCATGCGCTTAGTCATCTAATTTCCTGCACTCTGCACCCTGCTGATGTGCTTTGGCTGTCAGTAAACTGGTTTAAGGAGCCAGCTGAGGCTGGAGGTTTGTGTTTGTGATACTCTTCTCCCACATGGAGGGTTACTGAGTTATTGACTGAGTGCGAAGGAGGAATAGAGCTCTTGCTGGCTTTCCTCTGTTGGCAGGGATCAGAGATATGGGTCAGTTGCTGATCAACGCCCCTGAAGTTTGTAGGCAGACTCCTGCTCAGTGTCACTTCAGCAGGGTGGATGCTTGCCAACACCCTCGTAGTCCGACCACATGGAGAAGTCCTACCATCTCTGCAGTTCCCATGGAAATGGCCGTCTCTGAAATGATATTGATGAAATGGAGACTAAGGGAGCGGGGGAGAAAAGTCGAACCAGCGTTGATTGACAGGGTCCATGTGCACGTATGATCTGTGTCAACTGTCTGAACACACACACAGAGTTGTGCTTTTGGCTGAATAGAACACACTGTAGCTGTTTCTCATCTTCCTCCCTGTCCCAGCCTCTCCCTTCTCCTCATCGCCACTTTCTCCCCGTTTTTCATCTCACTTCATCTCATATGTGAGCGGGAACTCAGAAATGGCCCCTTATTCTCTTCCTTTCTTCTTCCTCCGTTTCGTCTTCCTTCGCCGGGATTGCCGGCTGACAGGGTCGTCAAATTTTCTCACTCTGCCTCTCTCAGAGATAATCAATGCTCTCGCGCCTACGATGGCATGTGTAATATTAGACATTAGAGCGGCCCTTTGAAGGGTGGATGGCTGGGGGGTAGCAGGAAGGAATGGAGGGAGGAAGGGATGGATGATAGGTGGATTAGAAAGGGATGAATGGGGACATCCTGCTGTAATCTCTTTGCTTTTTCTCTCGCTATTGGATCTGAGTCTCCTCTTTTTTCCCCCCCCTCTCACTGTGTCTCTCCGGCTCTCCTCTCATTCTCCTTCAATCAGGGCAATCAGACTAATTTTTAACTTACGTAAGCTTCACTTTCCCACTGTGGCACCGCACCAGCGAGTATTCTATAGCTCAACACGCTTGGGAACATGGTGTACCCTCGCTTTTTCTCACACGCACACACACACACACACACACACACACACACACACACACACACATCAGCCCTCCTCTGGGCAGACGGAGGGCTAAATCAGGGGCTCATGTTACCACTCAGCCTTTAGCGCAGCGGCAGCACTTACAAAAACAGTCATGTCATTGCAAATTGTTCCCATGCTAATTTCCCGTATTTACTGTACCTGGTCCTTTGAACTCCTCTGTGTGGTGTGTGAGTGTGTGTGAGTGTGTGTGTGTGTGTGTGTCAGCTATGCCCGAGCCTTTCTCACGCACTCTCGATTGCCTCCTCATCTGTTATTCCTAAAACAGATGTGATTCAGCATCGACATTATTGGCAAAACTTTGGGGACGTTCCGTAATTTCAAAAGGAAAATAGGTTGAATTTGTTAAATAAATGTTACTCTAATTGTTTTTCATGCTCTAATTTCCTGGCACCTCAATAGTGATAATAACACTAATCCTGTTTTGCCCCTGAGTACTTGTTTTCAAAGAAAAGAGGTGTCTGTCATCTTTTTTATTTTTATTTTTTTTAAATAATTGCTTGTTGCAGGAATTGCAGTCTTTGCAAAATAAGGTGTGGAGTGGTTGTATTTATCTATATTCTCTGCCAAACCCTGCATTATCACATCATCAGTGAAGCAGATCTGTTTTTATTACCTTTTTATTAGCCATGACTCCGCTGTTAGCATACCATTAAAAAGGGAAAGGAGATGAGAACTGACATTGCATATAAAAATGTACATAAATAGAGTTTAGTCCAATTACTGGAGAATTACCTGTATGTATTTTCAGTGAGACTTTGGGAAAGGCCCCGCAGCAAGTCTCCCATGCTGGTTAATAGGTAACAGATAACAGCGGATCAGTCGAGGGAAAACATTGGGCTCGACTAAAGAGGCTATGGTTGACTGTCTCGACAGGATGTAGTAAGCACATCGCTTTAGTAGCTCATCTGTCTCCGTCCTCATTCTTTCGCAGACTTGATTGTGCTTGTGTTGTTACGCTCCCCGTTGTTCGTTTCCTGCGCGTGTCAGTTATTTCCCCCCCCTCTCTCTTTTAAAAGGGGATTTCATTATCTTTGTTAACAATTTTTTTGAAGTTTTATTGCTGTAAAACACAGTTCAGCGCGTGTAGCCACCGCAGGGGCTTTAATAAGAAACTCCGCTTAATATAATAGTTACACTGTATGTGATAGAAAACAAGAGATGGAAACATGCTGAGTTTGGACAACAGGCCCGGGTAACAGCAAACAGGCTGTGAAGTCGGTTCTTGTCAAGCAAAGAAATATGGCTCCAATGAAAGCACTCTGTCAACTTTTATTGTATTAATTTTCAGCTGTTTGTCTTACAAAACAAAATATCAATAAAATGGGGATTTTCCACATTGTCAAAAGTGTCCGGGCTCACGTACAGCACGTCTCTATATGTGCGAGAATTGCACAGTGGCCCACGTGCTCTGTGATGAAATACTGAAACTGATGTAGTGACGTGTTGACGTCGCGTTAAAGTTACCAAACAAGAGTTACAATAGCTTACTGTATACTGAGTGTTTCCTTTCCTTCTTCCTTGTTTTTCTTCATCTTACACAATTTTAACGGTCTAGTTCTCACACTCACGCAAACCTCCCTGATTCCAACCTCCTGCCTGCACGTCAGCCTCCTCCTTTCCTCTGTTCTCCATCACTTCACCTCACTTTCTGGCTTCATCCTTTTCCGTACCTCACTATCAGTATTCCCCACTAACCTGTTTATCAAACTTCTCCGTCTACCTGGGAGTGCATTCAGATTTTTTTGTTTTTTTGTTTTTTTTATTGTTTCATTCTGTTAGCTTTTCATTGCTTTTCTGATCCTTTTCCTTCTCCATGTGCTTGTCTGTCTTCATCCTGGCTGTTCTTGTACTATATGCCTTTGTCTTCCTTTAATTGACCATCCTGTACAACTACTTTTAACTGGTTGGCAACCAGAACAACTCAGCTTTCTGCTTCAACGCTTATTTTTCCTCGCATTCTTTTTCTCCTTCATTCTTCGGTTGTACTCTGTTTTGGCCTGCTGCCCTGTCTCTCTCTCTTTTTTTTTTGTCTCCATATTTTGCAAGTAGATCACAGCCTTGTGTGAAGTGACACCTGTCCCCATTGTGTTGTTTTGCCTGTTGAATAGTCATGTTCTTGTTTTGCCTATTGAATAGTCATATTCTTTGTTCTATAATACCAGGGGATAACGGTGCCTCCTGTATGTACCGAGCTTTTAACTAAATGCTGAAATATGGCAGCTTTATGATATCTGGTTTTCAGTTAAATCACTTTCTCTTGTTTGCTTAGACATTCAAAGTCTGTATGTTTTTGTCAGTGTTGACTCAAATCATAGCAAATTGGATTAATTGCAAATCCACTGTTGTGTTTTATTGAATTCCAGCTTCTAAAATACCAAGCTGATCATTTTGTTTACTGAATGTTTGATGCTAAACAAACTGCAAACAGTTCTTCGCACACCTTGCCTTCAAATGTTGGACTTTGGCAACATGTGAGCAATCATCTCTCAATTTCTCACATATCGAGCTTACACCCATGTCAGGGCAGGAAATTGACACGTTTTGACTCTGCGCTGTTCTCTGATTGGAGTGTAATCGGAGCTCTGCACCTTTCAGTGGCTGCGCCAAATGCATTGTGGGTGTTCTCCAGACATGATCCTATCTTCCCTTACCTCAGTCCGGTCCGCAACAAATTGACAAATAATACCAGGATATCACATTGCTTCTATCACTACTCCTCAACATTTATAGCGTAGCTCATGCTCTCGCGCGCACACACGCAGACACACAGCGGCGCTAATCGATTGAGGCCACTCGCTGGTGCACGTGGCGGCCCGATCGGTTTGTGTGTGCACGTGCGTGTGAGAGGGCGTGCGTGTGTTGTGTATGAAGGAAGCAGCGTGACAGCTAAGTCCATTGCTTTCTCTCAGACATTCACTTCTTTAATATTCTGCTCTTACCCTCGCCTCCACTGACACACACTGTGAAATAAAGAGAGAAAAGAGACAAGCTGAGAGAAAAATGAGAGAGACATCTCAAAGGCTTTGTGCACCACAGAGGAAAGCAAGCACAGTTGTAGAGGCTGAAACGGGAAAATAAAATGGTGGAAAAGTGAGAAAGAGACGGGAGTAAAAGAGGAAAAAATTAAGAGACAGAAAGATGGGGAGGGGGAAATGAAGAAAAAGTTGTCCTCTGGCAGCGTGCGGTTGTTTAGGCAGATGGTTGTTGTGTGTTTGGTTGTTATCGGCTGCCGCTGACAGCAAAGGCTTTACCTCACAGACAGCACGATTAAGAAGAGAACTACTATGTGCATGTATCTGTGGCTATGCACATGGAAGTTTAATGTCATTTACTCATGCAATTACACACGTTTACAAAGACACCTACACACCTCCTGAATGACCACGTTAGCCAGTCAGTGTGTGGGTGCCTACACACACACACAGTAATCAATTCCTCACTCCAGGGTAATTGTTCCAGCACAGCTCTCGACAGCGAGACAATAGCTATAGGGCCACAGTAGTAAAAAAGATGAGAGAGTGGCTGAGTGAGAAACTGGTTGTGCAAGTATGTAAAAGAGCAACGTTGTGATTTTAATCAACATGAGACTACTTTGCATCAGGATAAATGACAGATTGGATAGCAGCTGTAGCCACACTGGCATAAAATTCTGACAACTTCTCTGTGTGCATGTGAGTGACTGAGTTTTATAGTACGTGTGGTTTTGTTTTTTTTCTCATGTGACTAAAAAGTTCAACTTGTTGTTTTCTCCCTCTCAGACCTCGGCTCCAGGCTCAGCGGAAGTTCGCCCAGTCGCAGCCCAACTCACCCAGCACTACGCCCGTCAAAGTGGCCGAGCCAGGCAGCCTGAACACTGGCCTGGCCACTGTGCCATCCACGTCCCTCTCATCGCTCTCCTCGTCATCGCTGTCCTCCTCCATCCAGGACCTGTCCAGGCGCAAGCCCAAGACGGAGGACTTCCTCACCTTCCTCTGCCTCAGAGGTAAGAGAACAGCAGAGTGGAGCAGATGGAGACATAATTACATGCACGCTTACAACCGGCAGCAGAGTGGGAGGGATGCTGTTTAACAAGAAAGCTGCAGATATGTCTTGTTCTAATATTAGAGGGTTGTTTTTTTTTTTTATATCTGGGATGCAAGTCTCTGCAAGACACTGAGCTACATATTCCTTCTGTGGCTCGACGACATTTTGCTGCTGCACATGAACATACATAAACAACTCAAGAGCACTTACTGTAAGTTTTGTTAAGTCAGGTTTTGATCATCCTCCACCCACTCGAAACCGTGCACACGTACTGCAACTCACTGCACACTTGCCCAAGGCTGAGATTATCCTGCATTTCATCAGCTTACACATCTCCCCCTCCTACCTTTCACCAACTGTCTGTCTCTTTAACACCCTGCCTGTCACCCTCTACTGCAGCAGCTGTTTGTACATTGATACACACACACCCTGCACTACAAACGCGACACAGGTTCATCCACACTATGTAGCACCTTTAATGTCAGAGGAACTGTAAAAGCCATGACTGAGTAATTAGGAGCAGAATTGGAGTTGGGGGGGTGCTTGGCTCTCTTTTGTCTCATACAGAAGCATTGTTTACATAGAAAACAGCGAAAACTATGTGAGTTAAATACACACACCAGGACGCTATCACACAGTCATATCAACCCAGTGGACAGCAGCTCAAAGTAGCTCAGACCCTCCTCCGCACTCAGGGTATCTAAATGAGTTCTTCTTTCCTTTAGAGTTAATGAAGGACTTACTCATAATCTACGCTCTGCCAGGACACTGCAAGAAGTTTCAGTCCTGCTGCAGCTTTGAAGTAGTGGTTTTATTATTTAATATTTTAGGCGCTAAAGTGTTTCAAGACCAAATACCAAAGTGCCAAGACTTTGAATCCTCTTTCAAAATGTGTGATTTAGAAATCTGTGCTTGCAGAAAGCTTTGTACAAGGAGATTTGAAGACTCATAACGTTCCCAAACGTGATCCACCTGCAGCAATAACAGGTATCAAGAGTGCTTCCAAAAATTCTCCCAACACTGCATTTTGGATTAAAACTCGGTCCTGCAGTTGTTCATCAATGGCCTCATTTACTTGTTTAATATACCTGGTGTTGAGTTTGACATTCCCTGCTGCACCTCCTGTGTGGATACAGACTTGCACAAAAGATGTAAGGAAGTAAAATGACCCCTAAACACTTCCCATTCATGCGCCTGCCTCAATTCATCCTTTTCTTGTGAAATATAAAAGAAGAGGGAGGGACACAATCAAGGCCCGAATAATAAAAAGTTTAGGACCATTTTCTCAAACAACCTTGGCCGTGACTTCTCTAAGCTATCTTAATTTTATCCTCGGTTGAATATCCCACCCACCTTTTTTTCTTTGCGACGTCCTCGCAACCACAATTAATTCCTTTTGCAAGACAAAAACGCCTTGCTTCAGATTAATTTACTGTTATCATTATTAACCTCTGCCCATCTTACAAAGTAGGCTCAAGACTCGGGAGAGGCAAATTTATATTCGAGTCTGTTGGGACGTGATGGCTATATGTTTCTATTCTGAGGAGAATACTTCTATTATGGAATGTCATTTTAACCTTACAGGGCTCATTCAAGAATGTGTAATTGGAGGTTGCTAAAAGTGACTGAAGCGTTCAGTGCGAGGGGCCTTGATTTGCATATATAGGCCAGGGTGTTACATAGGCTAATGATATAACGTCCCATATTCTTTGAAGATGAGATTATTCTCAGCTCTGGGTGCTAAGCTAAACTCCACCCTTACACGCGTGGAGAGGTAGACTAATGAGGTGTAGGTGACTGGTCCTGACTCAGTTTTGCCGCTTTCTGTCTTTATAATTAAGGCGAAGGTTTGGTGCTTTGCAAGCTGATTTTCTTGTCTCCGTGTGCAAGGTCTGCTGTACTCCACCGTGCTGCTAATGCTAATTTTAGAGCTAGTGCTGCTAAGCTAACGATCGAACTGTTTTCCACTGGCTTTTTCCACTCTGCCGCTCCCTGCTTTACCGCCGTATTTATAGACCCACTTTAGCTCCGTGTGTGTGTGTGTGTGTGTGTGTTTGTGTATGCATGTGTGTGTGCTCCGTCCATGCTGTGAGGATGACATTTTCCTTCACGGGGGCTTCTTCTGCTCTGTTTTCCCCTTGGCCTCTCATGTGACCCATATGCAGGGACCCTTACCAAGAGAGGGACATGGGAGAATGTCAGCAGAGCCCTTGAGGTTGCGTCTGTGAGTGTGTGTGTGTGTGTTCAAGCATGTGTGTGTGTGTGTGTGTGTGTGTGTGTGTGGGTGCAAATCCACGTTAACCGCTGATGTCGCCTGTCCTGCTTATCTCCTGTGTGCCCTCTCATCATTGTGTCTGTGTGCGATTGTGTGTGTGTGTGTGTGTGTGTGTGTGCGTCTATCTGCACACATTCAGCATCCAGGGTATATGAGGAGACGCAGCCAACAAGGACATCTGTGTTAGCCTGGTTAATCTTTTCAAAGGGACTCAAGTCTTTGATATGGTCTGAAACCCCCAATCCCCTTTAAGATTCTGATACATGTCTCTGGTGATCTGACCACCGCACACATTAGGCTCCTTCATGTCTGCCACCAAAATGTCTCTGACAGAATCTCCGGCTATATTATGGAAATCTCAAATCTATCATCTCGCCTAATTTTCGCTCTATTCAATTTGATTTGGACTTACTTTTTTGAAGTTATAATGGGGACCAAAAGTGACATTTCTGCCCTGAAACCCCATCAGCGGCGACGGCTGGGATTTATCCCAGGTCAAACGTTCGCAGTGTGTAAACACACACACACATCCACTGCAGTGTTTGCTTATCTTATCTGGTAAACATTACACATCCACTCCAAAGGCTTCTATCCATCACTCATTTTGACAGCTACATAAAAGCAGCTAAAACATGAAGGATTGGAAGCGATAACGTGAGCAACAAAAAAAAAAAGAAACATGTTGTGAAAGCGGCACTCTTGTGTCACTCTGTATTGTGAAATCACGGCTAACTTTTTCATCACTCTTCACGCTGTTCATGCACCTTTGCGTCCAATCAGAGCTTGTAATTGACAACATCTTACTCTTTTGGGATTTTGTTCCCCCCTCGTGATAATGAATCGGGTGGCTGCTGGTGGTTGTGTTGTTGCTGTATCCGAGGAAAAGTTATTTTTAATCCCTCCAGGGGGTGGCAGGGGTGCCTGATTATGCTGATGCAACGTGGGAGTAACCGGAAAGAGAAGCGTTAAAAAAAAAAGAGAGAGAGAGAGATTTGTCTACTGTATAGAAGGATGCACATCATGCATGCTCACCACCCACACTGTCTAGTTCCTATATTCTGTATTTATCTCACCGTTCATCTCTCATTCCTGCAAACACACACACACCCTCTTGCACACAAGCTGGAGTGCTCAGTCCTTCCCTGTGTTCTCAAAATGGTGTTTATGTGTGGTCCAGGCCTGTAGTTGGGCTGTTTATATCCATGGAGAAAGCCATTTGGGTGGTAGCCAGACAGTCTGCCTCTGGTAACCCAGAGAGTGCAGTGCTGCTGGCAGCAGGGTGGAGGCAGCACTGAGCAGAGCAGAATAAAGCTGTTTAATTGTCTTTTTAATGATTTCATTCCAAATTGAGGTTTAAGTTACGAGCATAATCTCAACAGGAGTGAGTTTTGTGGATGGATGTAAACTCATAGGTGTTGCTGTTTGCTCTCTGACCCTCACTTAACATTTTTTTAACCATTACTTATATTTTTAAAACTCAATACATAATATTGGGTAATCTTTGTCATCCTGTTTTTGTGTAATATATTTAGAAAATAAGTATTTTTTTTTGTTGGTCACAATTTTCTCTCCGGGTGGAACAAACGCTCACATATTGCCGTGGATTCGATTAGAGAGTAAATGAATAACAGTCTGCGCACACACACTCCTGGAAATAAGTCTCTTACATAAGTCGCTTCCAGGAGTGCGATTATTTTTTTGCAAATTTCTACGTATGTGTGTGTGTCGTGCCCGGCAGTGTTTACCTCTTTGCCCTCTGGGCTTCCTATCCTGCCTGCCAGGCCCGGTGTGGTGCTGCTGCTCTCTCTGTCAGGTTCAGCGAGGCCAATCCCTCCGCTCTGCTTACATAACCTCCCAGCTCTGACCCAGTGAACTACAGACCTTAGAATCCTAGTACGTGATTACACATGTGAAACAACTGTGGACTCTTCACATCTGTGGGTTTTTTTTCTTCTTCTACGAATAGACAGCCATTCCTTAAAATTGCGCTCAGGACCTCCATCTTTGTAGCTAGATTGTTACACTTGATATTGTTTGAGCGTGTTTTTATTGTCTGAGAATCTTGCTTAACTAGAAGCACATTTCCACCCCAGGGAATAGGATTTCAAGTCCGACAGCTACTCATGTGTCTCTCAAGTGCATTGCTGCTTTGACAACTGAATTTCCCTTGGGGATGAGGCCCTTTTCTCTCCGTCTAATGTGTGATTGCTGTTTGATTAAAGCCTGTATGTTTGTGGTATAGTTGTGCGTTTCTTCTCAATGACGACTCTGAGGAGGAGCGCGGAGCTCGACGCTGACAGATTCTGCTTCCTCCTCCAGGAGCAGAGCCGCTGTTTGTGGGGTTAATGGTTTTGCTGACATCAAGGAATGTGAATTGGAGATGTAATCCCTAATCCTCCTTCACTCTGTTTCTCCTCTAAGAGAACGATGAAGAGTTTTGGCAGAGCTCAGCTGGCTGTTGTAACTTTTCCTCTCCCCGCCAGAGAAACCTGCATTTGTCTGCCTTTCTTACCTACACTTAAAAACCCAGCTTGTGCTTCCTCGCATGCGGCACTCAGTTCTAAGTCGGCACGTCCACATGTCCCCATGGCAGCTAAACCCTCCTGATTGACTATTTAAATTGTCCTCATTGTTTCAGTTCCAGTTAAGGGGACAAAAGAAGGGTAGCCAGAGAATGGAGGGTTTATAATTATGCCCCCCCACCCACCCAAGAGCCCTGTTAAAAATGACAATCCTAATAGACTCTTTCAGACCTAATTATGATTTGTCTGCGGCCGGAATGAGGTGGAAGAAAAGCCGGTGTAATTGAGGGATTGGGCTCAAGCCCTGTTGAAGATCTTGGAGAGGGACTGAGCTGCGTTTTTTTTTTTTTGTTTTTTGTTTTTTCACCTTGTATGTGTGTGTGTGTGTATTTGTGTCTGTGTGTTTTCTAGGAGCTGATGGATTTGGGGTGTCAGTGCCAGAGATGGGGGCTGTAAATTTCTGGTATCGGCCCCAGAAGTATCGCTGCCACTCCCGTAGCTGGGATGCCAGTGGTCAGTATTGGACCACTAGATCTGTTGGCAGGCTCAGTGTGTGTCTCTGTCTGTGTTCGCCTCTTCTCCCTTCTCTCTCTCTCCAGCATTTGAGAAAGTCTTATTTTGAGGATCTTGAATATATTAGAGGATGCAGTGGCACTGTTGTTACATCTGTTTCTGTCTGGTGTCTGGTCAGTGTCATCTGCCGTTCTTCCACTGGTTGCTCAGCTTCTCCTCAGTAGTTATCTAACTATACCTCTGAGGACCTTTGCACTGAATTCATTTAATCTCAAACCCACACCCTAACCCTGTTAAACTGGTTCACAGGAGGATAGAAGTGCTGTAAAGGTACACTCACGCTTCCTCTATTGTGTTTGTTCATCTCTACTTCTCTGCAAAAGAAACACACACACACACACATTTCTGCCCCCAGCTGCCCCTGTGGTCTGTTGCCGTTGGCCTGCTGACCCCTGCTCGGGGCAGTAAATTACAGCCATTTAGCTAATGAAGCGAGTCATTAGAAGCTGATTGGGCCGGTGTGTGTGCGGCCTCGGTGTGTTTGTTTGGTCTAAGAGAGGAGCGTTTGCTCTGTCGCCAAGATAAACGAGGTGTCTGTGCGCGCTGTGTTCGTGTGTGTCGCTCGGGGCATGTGTGCTTCGGTCACCCGACACTCGAGGCCTGCGCCGCTGTTAGAAAGCTGGAAAACCAAACCGGTAAAAGTGCTACTGATATACGTGTTCAACCACTTCTAATTATCTCCATCCTACTTCACATGCTGCATGTCAAGAAACCACATGTGTGGACTTGTGTTGTCACGGCGCGTTACACTGAGCAGACAGAGAGTGAGAAAAGTGCCGAGAAACATTCCTGAACATGTGGATTAATGTAAAGACCATATTTCACGACGCTGAACAGTTACTTTCTGCACCGTTGACCTCCTTTAGAAGTTAAAGAGAGCAGGTAACACCACAGTTTTCAGGGAATCTGCTGCCACTACAGATTTGTTTCTCTCCCCGGCTCTCTGAGGAGATAATTAGAAACTGGCAGAGCTGCTGTGTGAAAAATGTGATCCAAGGCACAACCAGATTTATTATTACCAGGCTTTGTGAGTGTGTGTGTGTGTGTGTGTACGTGTGTTTGGCAGAGCTTTGATTTAAGTGTGATGCATTAAGTTTTCAAAATAATAATGTAACGTGACATGTGGTAACCACAGGTCCCCCGACTGGGCAATGATAGTCAGCGCACTTTAAAATGAGAATGAATCTAAGTTTAACAATGTGCTTCAGAAAAGAAAGTTAGAATAACGATTTCAGCATGTCTATTATTTTATGTTCTCGTCACAAAGGCAGGAAAGGAAGCTATTAAATCAACGTCATTTAAGAAATTGATTTACAGCAAATTGTTGGTCGGGAAGGGACAGGGATTTTCTAGCTTTCACGCTCCAGTGTTCCCTTAAGTACTTTGCAGTGTCGACTATTTAAAGCAGACTGCTTCAGTTTGCTGCAGTTAAGCCTTGCATCATGTTTTCTCCTTTGTCATTAGGAAAGCCCAGGCTTAGTCAGGGTGCCATTTAAGCACTGAGTGTATTCTCACACACACACACACACACAAATGTTAAATGTGTCCAGGCGGAGTTCTTTGGTGCAGATGTGTTTGTGCGTGTGCGACACATTGTACAGATATTGATTACACAAGGCTGGTTACTAAATAATTATTCAGCTTTGGCATAGTGCTACATTATTTTCGCTGATGAGCATATTCTCTTCAATCTAAAACCTTTTGTCCAACTAGAGAGCTTGTGAATTACTTGTGTAGTTTTGCTGCCAGTTTCTGTCTTGTTCTGTAATGTATAAGACGTATCCTTTCCGTAAGTTCATAAAAGGGAATCATTTTGGTGTCCTCATGCTTGTGTTATCTCCTAATTAGCTTAATAATGTATTGAATGTGTAAAATCTAAGATAAGTGTTCAGCACTCTCCAAAAACAAGTGTGCTAATTAAATAATTGGCTTGGCTAAGTCTTAATTCACTATGTGTAATTTATTTTTTATTTTTTTTGTCCTCCTATACTTTAATACAGGCTGTTGAATTCAGCCTATTTTTCAGAGGCTTAACATTATTTTAATTGGCGTATAATCACGCATTACTTTCCATTAATGCCCTTTAAACACAGAGGCTCCTAAAAGGGTAATAAAAACCACAGTAGTTGCTCATGCTATGCAATCGATTTAGTCATAAAGGCCTCACAACTTCATAAAATCCGCCGTTTCCTGCTCACAGCCAGATTTAATCAAAGCTGCGAGAATGTTGCGTAACCACACGTTCTCGTTAACTAGAAATCAACAATCCCAAACATACAGTTATACAACTACAAAGCTTAATTTTACAAATTGGAAGTTATTTTATTCAATTTGCAAACTGTGCCCACCTTTTCTAGTCACTCAAAGTCACACGTGCAGGCTGCTGTTACTGTGGAGGGGTCTGTTTTTCTTTACTTAAATCTCAGTAGTGCATTACAACAAATGATAAATAATAGACTGTGTTGTCCATTGTGCAGGCAGTATATAGGAGGGTTTGCAGTTGCATCAGTCTTTTGTTTTCTTCCTGTTGGCCTTGCAGAGGTAGCTGAATACAGTGTGAGGAATGAGGGAGAAAATCAGTCGTTTCATGCTCAACACATTTCCAACCATCACTTCAAGCTTTCCCCAGATTCTTTACTTCTGTTCTGATCATATCTTGATCTTGAATTTGTAACTTTGCCAGCATGTCCTGATAGCTTTGGCTCTGAAACTCAATTCCAGTCCTCGTGAGTAAAAGTAAACACACACGCAGATGTTGTGACATGCCGAGACAACAGGGTGGAAGGTGTGCGTGCTGAGGGTACCTGCAGCGGGACAGGGAAGGCTCCAGCAGGCTGTCGGCTCACACACTAAGTGTCCTCCTGCTCTGTTTAATTTGTGGTACCAATTTTTCTTTGTTGTTGTTGTAATATTTCTGGAAGCACAGTGTGGCATAATGCAGTAAAATAAAAAATAAAAATCCAAACTGATTTACAACTGCACCTGTGTATCTAGATGTTTTATTTCTGTAGCACAAGTCACTGCTGTTGGACTCTAAAAACTCACCCTTTGCTTTTTTTCTTTTTTTTTTATTCTTGCATCTATATGACTCAACCAGCTGTTTGCAGACTGATTTATGAGTACAACATTATGAAATTTAACATCATAGCTTTGGGCTTTATGACCTTTTGTGAGAGTGACTGTGTGTCTACATTCAGTTAACTGAGGTAACGTTATAGGCCATCCACGGCGGAGCACTGTTTACCTCCTTGGAGCACATATTGAACCAGATATCTCGGAGATGACGATGGAAGTGATTGAGTGTGACAGAAAAAAGGAAATAGAGAGAACGTTGGTTTTCTTCTCCAATAGGGGTGGGAGATTGACAGTAATCCTGTTTGGAAGAGTGAAAGCGACAGATTTGGGATTAGCTCAGCAGCACGAGAGAGAGCGACTCTTTGGTTTTCTAAAGTAACTCTCCGACAGAGTTAGATATTTGAGCGCATGTACATTATATATGTCTCAATAAAACTGTCAACATCAAGAGCCTCTGTGGAGAGACTGCTCGCTACGCGCTCCCTGTGCTTTGGCTTCAGTTCTAGCTATCAGAAAATGTTGCAAAGTCATTTTGATATCTTTACAGCTACGTACTAATATCAAGGCATTTGCAAAACACTGCAGCCAAAACATCTGCAGGACAAACTTTGGAAACAAAGGTCAACAAGCTCCAAGTCCACAAATGCAAATTTCAGAAACGCTTCAGAAATTGAAGCGGTTTCTCCTGATGTTGTTAAAGTAAAACTGTCATCACTCTAACATTGTGCTTCGCATGTCTCTGATTATGTTTGTGCATTTAACTGTGTGAGCGAGGGTAACAATGGAGCTGCTGCTCTGTGCAGAGCAGTTTACAAAGCATCAATAGGCCACCAACTGGGATAATAACAGATGAAAAAATAGCAGCACAATCCCTATTATTCTTCAACCCCTGAGCAACTTCTATTTTTGTATTAATATTTCACCACTTACATACTGATTTATTTGCAACGTCTGACATTAGAATGAAACAAGAAAAGATATTTTTCCTTACATTGACGGCTGGAGGTCTCCGAGAAAACAGCATTGTGTTCAAATAGACCAAACTGCCTGTGAGCTGTTTTCTGTGCCTTTCTATTATTTTGAAATGTAATTTATTTTCCTCTTCTTTTTTTCTCCGTTCTCCCACTCCTCCCCCTTCCCCCATCCTTTCCTCCTTTTCTTCCACCTCTCTGCACTCAGGTTCATCTGCCTTGCCCAGTAACATGGCCTACTTCGGAAGCTCCCAGGAGGAGGAGGACCTTGAGGAGGAGGAGGAAGAGGAGGAGGACGAGGTGAGGAACGGAGGTGGTGTCCACTCTCACGGCGTGGGGAGCAGCAGCCAAGCCTCGGCCTCTTCCTCCTGCCACTCGACACCCCGCAAGGGCAAACTCCCCGCCAGGCAGCCACTCAACGGGCACGGTAAGGACGGAACTGGAGCTCTGGAAGAAAGCATGCCATATGTTTGTTACTAACACCAGTCTCGTGTCTTCACACGCACCGAGTGAGGGATTGAATGAGAGATACTTAGGAGAGGGGTTAATGGACAAGAGGAGGGGAAAAATTTAAATAAAAAAAGGGGCAGGAGTGTTGGTGAGGAGATGGAAGAAGAGGAGTCAAGGACGGAATAATTAGAAAGAAATGGAAAGATCCAAAAAGAGAGTGCAGAATGAGTCATGGGACAAAAGACATATTTGTGCTTCTTGACTGTATTCGAGTGTGTATTTCTGTTTGTCTATGCACGTGAGCGATTTCTTAAGTTCGCACTCTTGTTTTCCACTGCAGAGAAAAGGGTAAGTCACTCGGGATAGCGGAGCAGTGCATCAACTCTTTCCACCCCAATTAACACTTAGCTTACTAAGCCCTAACAAGGTGTTTATGCACACACTGCAACAGCTGGCCTGGGCCCTCGACACACACACACACACACACACATGCAGTGCGGTTACAGCATACGTACACCCCTTGGGGCACGTAGACATTCGGATGAATACACATACACACAGTTGTGCACAACATTTGGGAAATTGCATGCATGCAAAATACGCTGTAGAAATGTTTCATCTTATCAAGTCATTTTATTTCTGAAGGAAATTACTCTTGATTCTAGAGAACCACTGGTACAAATTGTCCATCTGCACAGGCAGATTTTTCTTTAATCAGAAATGAGATTTTCAAGGCCCAATCAGATAAAAATGTCTGAGATGTAGACTTTTTGCAGTGTGTAAGGTAGAACATAAGGAAAACTTCAAATATTCAAAATATCCCCCGTCCCGTTTTTATTTACAGTAGCACATGATGGGTTTGTTATATCCATCTTGTAGTTTTTTTCTACAGAGCATTACAGAAAAATGCTAACCTGGAGGCTCTCCTTCCCTGGCAGACTTCAGAGATATACAATCCTTCCGGCCAGGCATTTCCCAATGAAACAAGGGCTGGATTTCATAGTTCCCCCCCTCTCTGCCCTCCCTGACTCTCACTCCCTCCTTAGTCTGTAGAACTGCCGCCAGAAAGGTTTAAAAGGTGAACGCTTTGCTCAGCTTTTTTTCCCCTGTCATCCTCTCAGCTGGAATGTGGAGGAGGAGAGAGACAGCACAGAGACTGGTGGGATTAGGAGAGAAAGAGGGAGAGAGGTCCATAGATTTGCTTATATCGAACTCTTTAAGAATTGCTTACTTCCTTTGTATAGTTGACTGGCAGTGCCTACCCACAACACACCCATAGATACATACACTTTTCCCTCATCCTTTCACCAACATCTGTAGCTGCGGCTTGAAACATAAACTGTACGTATCTGTATAAAGAGCACGAACAGTAGGATAGTGAAACCTGTTTGAACAAATCCGGGCTTGTTGTGTGCATGAGGACAGCTTATTCTCCTTTCTTATCTCGTACACAAACACTGTTTGCAAAGCAGCTTGGCGCCTTCACTGTGATATGCTAAATAAATAGATAAGGGGGAAATAGGCAGATATACTTTGTAAGGGACAATAGAGATGAGGGGGTTAAGGACATTGAAAGAGACATTTGTGTACACAAGTAGGTGTGCACACTCAGTCAAGACTGGGTCATTGCTCCAGTGTTGACAGTGTTTATGCTGTGTTGGATATCGGGCACACACATGGAGAAAAACACGCTCACACCTTAGTACATTTTGTGGTATTAAGATTGGTGTCAAACGTGACACTTTAATATGCAGCCTGGGCCGCTCTCCAGCAGGAGCACGGTTATATGGGCTCTCAGGGAGGACAGGGGAGGAGGGAGGGGAGCAGCTGAGAAAAAAGGAGAAATAGAATTAGCGAAGGAGAGAGAAACATTTTATTCTGGGAGGTAAAGAGAGACAGGAAAGGCCCTACATTGTAGGCCATTCATCAGCGCTCCGTCTCTCCACTTCTCTCTCTCTCGGCCATGTGCCATGTTGACATAGCTAAATTAAACAGCTTTTATTGGGCTCAGTTTCTTGCTTAGCTCACTTCTCAAAATGTCAGTATTTCTCTCATTTTTCATTGAGCTGGGGGCCCCAGAGACCCGCAAGCACTCACTCGTGGTTATGAGTGGATACACGCAAACAACACACAAACACACACAGTTTTGCAGACAGCCTCATGCACTGTTGCTGAAAATTGCACATGCAGATCATTGAACATTGTTGCTCTTGACAATATACATGTCTATATTGAGGGTTGCATGTGTAGTGTAACTGCTGAATTTTTAAGACCTGGTGAAACTTTATATTGAGCCTCGTAAAAGCTGAAGAGAGAGCTGCTGAATGTATATGTTAATTGCCTCACTATGCTGAGCTGCGTGTGCAGGG